ACTATCCTTAACTTATTTTCCTATGCCAAAGTCTGGTTTACACTTACCTCAAAATCATATGGAAACGGAAGCCCTTCCATTTTCAACTCTCTTTCCAAGTACTACAAAATATCAAAACATGTACAGCATACTGTATAAATGAATCATATAAATAAATGTCAAAATTAATAAATTATGTTCAGAAAAATAAATGTACCTCTCGTAACACATTTAGTCGAATAAATATAAAATTCACTTCTTCGCCGATTGGTGCCGACTGCTCATCGAACTAGAAAATGCAGAAATATATAGGTGCAGTGCTAGTTCAATTGTTTCCATTGTACTTTTGTGTCATCATAAATTACAAATTGCAAAAAGGCAACCACAAAAAAATAATCGGTTAAATTCAGTGATGCAAAAAGCATGAATACCTTGCGTACTCAATGTGAACTCAAGAACCAGACTCGTCCACAATCATCGCTTTAGTTTTATGTTTAATATGTGTGGCACACGCAAGTAAAAGAAATTGTGTGCAGAGAAGGTCAGGAAGGGAGCGTGCGGGGAGAGACAAGAAGGTAGAAGAGTCTTTCTCCCTTCACCCCCACACGCCCTAATTCTTCACAAGCATTTTCTTTCATTTGTGTGTGATTCATGTACAGTATTATGTAACAACTGGGGACAAGTAAACTCTGGAAGTATTTCTGGACAAATAATATACTTTCTAAAAAGCATATGAATATTACATAAAATGATGTCCAGTTGGCCAGACAAATAAAATTGAAAACGTTAAATGTAAAAAATCTTTAAATGTTCCCTTAACTTACCTCTCCCTGTTTTTCCTTTGGCAAGCCCACACAGTCTTTCATATCGTGACCTAAATAAATTGCAAAGCAAACAGTGGGAATTCTAACAATTTCACTTGGCTCAGCTGAAAAATGTCCGCTCAAGTGGGAGGTTCCCCGGACATTGGCTAATAATGGTCGCCCAGCTTTTCAACATTTACAGTACATAGATTGGTCTTGTACCATTACAAAGTACAATTTCCTACCAACTTGGCCACATAATTCACAGGGTCTCTTTTGGTTTGGTTTAAATTCTTCTCTTAAGATTGTGAAGTGAGGTTCGTGAGTCGCCAATCCTAAAGACACACCAGAAAGAAGTATTTAGATTTGTCAACATATAGAGTTAAACAAATTTATTTACATTCTCTATATAATCGAAATATCAATTTTTCAATTACATACCAAGCATAATCAAGTCCGCTATAGAAAATAGATAAGTGAATTGACATCAGTGATGTTTGTTTACAGTATTTAGTCAAAAATATTACATTCACTTAACAAGAATCAATTTGGTCAGTATACAGTGTAATTACCATCAGCTCCATTTAGACAATGGTGTGTGTTTGGATCATGACTTGGGCTTGCTAAAAAAATAATTATTAATACAGTATACAGTATATAGTGTAATATATTAATATGATGTTAATAACATGTGCCGGTGTAGGTAGCGACATTAACAAGACAGTTGTGGATTGGTAGGGATACAACTACTGAACCTGAAAAATACAAGGAGAACTTCGACGTTTCGAGCAAAGGCCCTTTGTCGAGCTTCGTACAGTAGTTCTGTAGAACTTCGTAGTTTTTTTAACTTCTGCTTATATTTCAGCTAGTTTATCTCTTTCAATGATTATACCATATAATTTGATGCTAAATACGAGACATACCTCTTTGCTTTCGAATAAAATCCATGATTTTATGTTCACCCTCTCCAGGTACATTTGCATCTGACAATATGACCTATTTATACAATATCACTGTCAATTTTTGCTCAGATATTACAATCATGGTACATCCTACAGAAGAACACTAGTCTGATTGCCTTGCCTTAATATTTTGCCATCCTGGATCGTAATTCAGCCTCTGAGCAATATAATACCGTAAAGCAACTGACAAGTTGTCCATAAACTCAGTGCCCTGAGAAAAAGATTAAATTAAATTAATAAAGCATAATTTATGCAATACTTATACTTCTCTATCCACATTGTTTATTCTAAAACATTACAGTTTAGTATTTATTTACCGGTGTGATGCAATTGCTGTCAAAATGCTCTGTTTTTTCTTTGACTGGTGGTAATTCTCCTCCTAGAGAATTTTAAACAAGGTTATATGGTATTTCACATCTACAGGAGACAGAACATGCACCATGGGATATTTTTTCCCATACCTTGCCCCAAGATTTCTGCACGATATCTTGCCAAGTCTTCACGCTTGTCTCTAACAAAAAATGTGTAAATTAACCAACTATTTAATCCACATATTACTGTATATAAAATCATATATATCCATGGGATATACAGGTATGAACAGTATTTTTGCAGTAAGGGTAATCAAAAATAACATAACATATAACATTTATTAATTTATATCGCACAAATTCAACAATGCAGTTTTCAAATACACCCTCTTTAATTAAATGCAAAATATTTGTTATGAATCTTACTTACTTTGATTCCTTTGATGCTCGAAACCGTCTGGATCTCTGTTGATTCATTTTTGCTCTTGGTGCCTGAAATATTAGAAATTTTCCTTAGTGCTTTGAATGACATGTATTTGTTGATTTACTCATTCAAATTAAAAACCATACTATTTAGTATCTACAGCAGTTCCAGAAGTTTCATCCTAGTTCTGGTCTTTATGGAGTGAAAGAACCTCAGCAGGCTCAGCTACAGTATTTTATTGTCAGTGTCTAATGCAAAACAATGTACATATGCAGGGGGTGGGGTCTAAGTTAAAATTTCTACCAACATTGTTACATCATTGCTACGTTTACTTACAACTCCGTCAATTGCCATGTAAAGTAGCTTTCTTGGCCGGACAATTGAAAAAATTCTAAAAACACAAAATGTGGACAAGAATTTTGAAAATGATCATTGACCATGAATATAGACAAATAGCAATTTAAGAGTCAGACAAATACATTACGGAGCCAACATAAATTCTTCTAATTTTTTTACACTGACCTATCAATGTATTCAAAAATGGCTATCATCATTTCATCCTCATTTTTAGGAGCTGGTCTATAAAGCAAATAAAACAGAATACATTTTAGTTCAGTATCAGTCTAATGCAATTTTAACCCTTTAGGAGGGGGACATTGGGGGGTATTCAATACCGTAATACAGCAAACACATTTTGTCAATTACCGCAGTTTTTGAGTCCAAAATTGCAAATACCGTGACCGCAAGATTTCCAATATCGTAATACTGCAATTTTTCAAGGAAAATACCGAAATACTGTAAGAAAAATAAGCTAATACCGCCATACCGTAAATCCCAATGTCCCCCTCCTTTCGTGGTAAAGCGCCCAGATGCGCCCTACTTTATTATTTTACTCTGTCTATCACCAGACGATTTTATTCGTCAGGGGGAGAAAATGGAAGAAAAAACATTTGGAGCCATGCAATATTTTGAACATTACTTGTTCTCAGGATGACAGCAAGGATGAATGATTCCATTCATGTCCAAGTATAAATTATCAAATTCAACATCGTTTGGATTAGGTTTGCTTGAGTCAACTGGAATTTTCTCATCATTCACCTCTCGAGGCTAAAACAAAACATTACAATAAAATTAGTCATGACAGGAAAAATGAACTAAGCTGACATGCAGTATGCACAAACTCTTGATTAAAAGTTTATGAAATTAACTCTCTGAGCCTTGTGTGCCACTAAAAATTGCAAACAAGCACTTAGTAGCACTTGGACGATACGTCACTAACTTTTTGTCATAAAATAGTCCATTGTCTGTTTAGTATGTGGCACAAGGATTGTCAGACAATATATGGCAGAGAGCTAGCAGTTTACATTGAAACTGTCCGGCAGACTAGTTGTTTGTGTTTCACAATATCTTAACCAAAAACAGACGATTTTGTGGTTATAACAAAAGTTCCAGTACCATCCTATAAATATCCAGCAAATTTTTACTGGATACTATGCAGATATTGTGGGATGTCTATCTTTTGCCGGATATTGGATACATGTATCCGGATCTGGCACATCCCTAGTTTTGACCCACCTTAAGCCCAGGTCACACTACACAACAATAGACAGATTTAGATCGAGGACGCAGACGTCAAAAACGTGAAAATAGCGTGTTGTGCCCATTTATGGATATGCCACGCCATTTTGATGCCATTTTCACATCGTCTTTGACGTCCGCGTCCTCAATCTGTCTAATAACGATACTTTTACTTGTATACGTACAATGATTGGTAAAAAATTTATTGTTATTGTCCAACTGAAAAATAAATCGCTTGGGTGAGCAATTTAAAATTGTTATCGTTAAACAATAATTTTAACATTTTCGTTGTAATGTGGACACCAACATAATTTTTTTGCCAATCATCGCATGTTTACAAGTTATCGTACCGTTATCGTTGTGTAATGTTTGTTGTGCATTTATCCACCCAAAAATATCATTTTTTCATGGCTACTTGAATATATAATGTTCCCTAACTGAGACAAAGTTCTGCAGGCATGACCAACCAATCAAATGAACAAATAAGCAAATCTAAAGTCTACACCACCCCCAAAATAAGTCTAACAGACAGATCTATCAACTACAGTAGTACAATAATTTACAAAAATCTCAAAATTCTGTCACCTTTTCTTCCACAGAATGCACGACAATTGATGGATATTTCCTGGACAGCCAACGAAAAAACGCCGGAACTCCCATGATTTAAAACTACAAGACGCTAGATTGTGCACACATAAAATAGAAACAAGATCTGAAGCTTATAAACCATAAAAAATAAAAATATTTCTAAATTTATAGAAAGTCAGACATGTTTTGTTTGATTCCAAACAACGTGTGCACTTGAAAGACTGGGGCACAACATTCACCCCCCTGAATTTGGAAGGCTTGGGTAAAATTCACTAGATGCTTAGAAAAACGCAGGGGGGGGATTAGGTTCTCTATTTTTATCTAGCTCGATTTTCGTGCAGTTTCAAAAACCAAGATGGCCGCTAAAAGGAGTTATATTTCATTTTTAACAAAAAATCAAGGAATGCCAATGGTTGCAGTCGGATGGTGAGATTTTAATGAAATTTTTAGTGTTGTATAAAATAAGGAATACCAAAAATATGTGTTGTGGTTTTATTTTCTATTCCTGAGAACAGCTTACTTTCAATGGCCGACTGCCGATTCCTATTCCTCGCCAATTCCAAATTAAAATGGCAAAATTTTGGCTTATTTCTCGGCCAATTAGACTCAAACTAACAAGCCAAGGTTATCCAATCTGTAGTCAGCAGAATGCAAGCCTAGAAACTCGAATTGAGTACAGAATTTTAGACTTTGTTTTATATTTAAATATGGTCATATTGTACTTACCAAACTGCCTTGCATTCAATAACTCATAGCTATCTCTTTGTCATTCTGAGTCGTTGTCTAAGCAAGTTATTTAATTCATTTTAGGGTCGTGGTCATAACCTCAGGGATAACATCGTTTGTGCTTGCCAAACGTCACATTGATCGATTGCGAATGGAGAAAATCCGACGAGAAACGAAATTGAAACTAGAAAATGACACTTAGAATTAGCCAAAAAGAAGAAACTTAACATTTAAAATGAATTATGATATTAGATGCCTTCAATTATGGCATAACATTGTCATTGATAACAATTACAAATGTACAGTACAGTTCTTAGTCTCAGATTGCTAGAACTTAAAGAAATAAGAGAGAGCTTCAGAAGTAGTATAGCTCCACTCAGTTCACTGATCTGAGGAGGTGTGCAACAACAGGGCTGCAAATAAATATTTGACTTGACAGGACATTTGTCCGATCACTTTTAATTTTGGTCGAACATAACTTGAATTTGGTCGGACAAAAACTATCGCCACTATATACGTCACAAGATATATATAAGTCACGAGACAAGTATGTATAGCCATTCCGGCGCAACGTTAAGTAAAATGCTAGAATGCTTCGTAAATTTTATTGCAAACTGCAAATTGAGTGAATTTGCAATCGGATTTTGTCACAGCAAAAAAATGTATAATGTGACAATTTTTTTTGTGATCGGACCAATGTCCGATCAAAATTACTTTTGCTCGGACATTTGCCAAATTTAGTCGGACATTGTCCGATGTCCGACAGTAATTTGCAGCCCTGAACAAGAATACTAATATACACACGTAAAAACGCACAAGTTGTAACAAACCTGCAGCAGACTTGTAGCAATGTTGTTCCAATAACTTGTCAACAGGATGTGTTCGCACTGCTTGTTCCCAGCTTGTTGACAACTTGCTACAAGGTTGTTGAGCTCAACAGACTTGTTACAAGTTGTTCCAACAACTTGTTCTCGTCCTGCAATTCAACAATTTGTCAACAAGTTGTGAGTAACAACCTTGTAGCAACTTGATAAAATAACAGCATTGTTACGACTTGCTTGACAAGCTTGCTACAAACCTCTTGTCGACAAGTTGTGAGATTTTTACGTGCGTAGGTCGTGCGAGTCCATCACTGGTACGAAAATTGGGGTGTAATCAATTTTCTTTATGACATTTTCGTACAATTTAATGAAAGTTTGTGCCATTATGCGTAATCGTTGAACAAAGCCAATCTTAAGATAGAATGCAATCACATTAGCATAGCTGCATGTAAGCGATTGCCATTGTGTTTTTTAATATAATCAACTACCGCAAATTGCTTTCTGACTTAAACACGTTTTATAATCAAACGGTTACGTATGAATTTAGATGCCTTATCGAACTTCGAAATTGAAATATTATAAATTTATTTCGACACTTTTCTGCAAAAAAAAATTAAGTAATATTAGTATAATTACATAGGTGATTATTGAAAATTCTCCACGCTGATTGGTTGCCGTTGAGGTGATTATTACGCGATAATCACCTAAGCGATTTTCAAAATGGCGGCCGAAGCCTTTTTGTCAATTAAATGACGAAGAGATGTGTATTTTTTTATTTTTTCCAAATAATCACCTATGAAATTATACTAAAACAATTATTCACCTCGGGCTCGGTGATTATCGTGAATAAAAACCTCGACTTCGTCTCGGTTTTTATTCACCGATAATCACCTCGCCTTCGGCGAATAATTGTTAATTAAAATAAAAAATATATTAGCCGTATTATGTATGACATATGACATGCATTTAAATTGCTGCTGTTTTCAATAACTGTATAATTTTCGCGGTTGGCGTTGTAATTATTGGCAGCAGGTTATTTGCAATTATATCAATCAAGCAAAGTAATAATACATATGCATAAACCGATATTATTTTGCAAAATCCTCTTTTGAAATAAATGTATTGTATTTTTAAAGATTCGTATTTAAAGTGTAATACAGATTAACGGTTAAACAACATTCATGTTGAAGGATGACAATTCATTTTGTTTGTTTCTATTTAAACATATTTTATTAACGGTATTTCTTCAAGAGCTCGTCGAGGGAATGGAAATGAGCATGAAATTAATGTTTTATTGCATATGTGGATATAGCACTTGAACGAAGCTTCAACACTAAAGCGAATTATCGTCAAAGTGAGATTTAGTGTCAGGATACAGTATGAAAATTCTTAATGGAAGCTAGGATAAATATTGAAACATAGCTTTCAAGAGACAATACACTTAAGGTAAGTTTTGCCTTGACAGAATGCAACGTATTTGTTAAAAAAGACTTGTTAAGTTTATAAATATTTTATATCTCTTGACAAGTTAAAACGAAGATAAAAACATAGCCTTCCCTTTCGAAGGTGTGCTAATGAATTTGAGTGGAAAATATTTCTGTACGTTTGACCTTTTTCCGCTTCGCGACTTCTGTACGAAATGACCCGAGTTTGAATGTCTGTACATCCAAATGACGAGTTATGGGATGAAACTGCAGTTTAATCATATGACATATATAGCTGAGACTGTCTAGGACTGGAAGATTTTAAATGTGCATACCAAGATATTCAACTTTTCAATTTTACATACAGCCATAAAGAAACTGTTCATTTTTGCCCTATAAAGGAAGGTGCTCACTTTTCACGGGAATTGGCCGGGGGCAGCCCTAGACCTCTTTGAATGGGAGGCGGGTGTAAGTGAATTTTGCCGAGTTATCAAGGCAAATTTTGCCGAGTCACTGCAACCACTAATTAATATTTCTTTTGGTTCGGTGAGCATGCATTATGGTGAAGTCGTAGACAATGCTCATTATACGACCAACTTGTCTTGGCATGCAATTTTTATGTCGGAATAACGCATGCGCATTAACAAGCTTAATGTGCATGCCAAAACCTATATACATCATACATTTGGGATGAAAAGAAAGCTTAACTTTGTGGAACTATGTACAATATCTAATTTACTTTGTCAGGCACCGGAATGAAAAATTGTACACGCTGTTGAAAGGCATATGAGATCTCATATATTAAGTCAACAATGCAGTGACAGGACTTTCGAAGTTAAAGCACTCACTATTATATTACTAAACCCATCACTGAAGCTTAAAAAATCCTTATGTAATTAGAAATTGTCTTCTTATGTAAACTTGCCATGATTTCGCTCTAATGTATGCGATTTTTCGTGTATACAAATACACAATGAGCCCCACAATCGAACTGAAAATCTTGTATGACGAAACACTGCATTGATAATCTTCATCTTTGTTATCACGTAAAGTTGAAACTTGAACTAATCAAGTTTGATCACCTCAATTTATTGGTTAAAGTGTATACATTACACTTGTCAAACTTTTCATTAATCATGTTAACATTTAAATGGATAGTACCAATCTATTTCGGTAGTTGTCATAGTATAAATTAGCTCTTCAGTACTGAAGGACATTCAATTAATTACGTGCGCTAGACTGCGACCACACGGCGGAGAGCGTTTGGGCATTAGGGGAAAACTAGGCAGAACTGCCTTGAACTGCTGGCAAAGTCATTCAACCTCAGGAGTGTTTTACTAAGCACCGTCGTGCAGCAGATGGTCAACCTACAGTCATCCAGGGTAAGAAAATATATAGTTGATTGGCGTATCATTATAAATGTGAGTGATTTAGTTTCATTTTCTTCTTCCCTATAAAAGTGTCAACATTTGAGAAGTTGTCCATTATCCGCTGTGCTGTAACGCTTACTGCAACATACCAACTCTGATGTCCGCTTTGTAGGGGATATAAATTGCGCGTGTTTTTGAAGGGGGCATACTGATTTATCCTGGTTAAATTCACAGCAAGAACAAACGAGAGGGCAACAGACACAATGAATAGCATTTGGCAAAGGTTGAAAAATCTTTACCCGACTAACGAAAGGGCGAGATCTTCACCAAGAATGGCAGACGTGGCGTTAGAAGTTTTACAAAATCTTGGCGAGGAGGCGAAAGATGTTGTTTACTATGAGGCACTTCATCGCGTTCATGGGGTAAGTACGTATATATAGCTTGACATAACATAGTACTATAGGTTCACAATTCCACTTTATATAGGTACGTGAAAATGAGGAAATGAAGATTTTAAGGCAACCCGGTCTAAACCGTATTTGTTCTATCGTTGTGGTAATATTAAGCATTCTCCGAATTTTGGTAACCAAAAAGTGCATCTATAATGGGCTATAACGAAGCATAAAAATTTTTGTGTATATAACAAATATGAGTTATGGGTATCCAAATTCAATAGTTACCACCATCTAGTTTGCATGTTTATTTATACAAAGATAAACACTTTTGCGGTGCTTGTTCCTGTGTAAAGTGGCGTCCTCTTGTAATGCAAATAAACTCAATGACGATAAAACTTGCATGCACTAACTTTAATACATTTTGAGTTATTCAAACCGGCTGATAACGTCCTCATTGAAACTTCGATTTAGTGTCAAGTCCTAACTTTTTCAGGGATGAGAACTCTTTCATATATATTTATGGTTTATCGACCAAATTTCAAAACTTTCCGCAAGCGCAGTAGGTAGCGTAATATATTATCCATGCGTTGGAATTTTGAACAACAGGCTTGCTGCTTAAATAGACACTAACATAGAGTCAAGTTTCGCGCACAGCTTCCAAGCGCTAACTTGTTTGATCATGGGGTGAAATGCAGGCTCCGTTTTAGCTGCGGTACTTCTCGTTGAAGAAAGGGGTGCATGTGATCGTTTTATTCACAATGAATATGCTTGATCTGTTAAAAATGTACTGTTCAATTTCAATAAGATTCACAAGAGTGTAGCAATCTACCCCTGTTCGGAAAGTTGCAGAATTAGTAACTTTTATCCTCTGATTATTAGAAATGACCTTAGCATCAAACGCCTGTATTCTAAAAGCTCACTCACACTCACACTTAATGAGTGGAGGTTCAATCTGAGCTTCTCTTGAGTGTCAATGCTGTTTTTGAATAGCTGGGGGGTTAGTAGTCACCGTGTATGGTATGCCACTAACCCTCCAGCTATTCAAAAACAGCATTGACACTCAAGAGAAGCTCAGATTGAACCTCCACTCATTGAGTGTGAGTGAGCTTTTAGTAGAATCCGGGAGAAAGTCTCGTCATAGCGTGTACCCCTACTACATAGCGCGCATTTTTGCGCACCGGCCCTCTTCAACTTGCGTGCAGCACGTATTTTCGTAAGGTCTATTTACATTACACAACTTTTGCCTGAAACTGTTGCATGACACCTGTTTACAACTCATTCAGTTGCACTGTGTAAATCAAGCACACAACTCGCCTACGATGTCATAGTGAGTGAAGCAAAGTCGATATTAACATAAGTTCCATAACTACAAGTAGTTATAATTAATCATATTGTTCCTAATTAGATACGTTAGCGTGTAAGGTGGGCGTTTCTGGCCGTTTTGCAACCGGGTCACTTGCTAGAAAATTTATATGTAGTGATAGAATCGAGTCATTATTCATGAGGAGCCGATGAAAACAAAAACAAGAAATAATGGAACAAATCTATTAACTTTTTGTCAAATAACTTTCCGATTGTCAACACATATTCACTTTCTTAATACTTGCGTTTTAATGACTTTACCAGATGTTAGTAAATATTTGGAAATCACAAACTCGAAAAACTTAACCATTAAACTATTCTATTCGTTATATAAACAGTGCGATATGTAGAAATAGAAAAATATTTGGAGTTTTGACATTCAATATCGTTTATGTAATTCACAGGATCACTGACTGGAAATGCAAAACAATCTGGTTTCTCTTACAATAAGCTCTGTTTATTTAGTCATAAAATATATTATACAAGAAATTAACGAATGAGTGTAGAATCTCTTGCAACCAAATGTGACATTTAACATGATGCTAATTTTTAATTATTTTTTTTTAGGAAAACAACGATGGACAGGGCGAAAAGTAAGTTATATATGCATATACCTGAAACGTTTCTTCAAGTTCCAAACGTTTATAAACTGCTAGCAATGCATGGTAGTTCTTTTCGGCTTTCCTCCTATATTTTAATTAAAAATATGTAGTATCAAGGGATTGCAACTGACAAAGCTATTAAGTATAAATGAAGTTAGTTTGGTTTATTTTATTTTTCACTTGATTTAGGGAACCTAACAAATGGTCAACCGTTCGACGTCGCATGGCAACAACGATGAGAACAAACTCAGTGTTTGGTATCAATGGCAGACCACAAGAACAAGCAACGAATAATACGTCCTATTTCTTTTCTGGAAATTCCTTTATTGGGAATACACTAACTAAGATTACAGTAAGCACGTTTTAATTTAGTATCAAGTATGACTGCTTCCCTGAACAATTACCATACAGCATAGGCGCAAGGTACGTCTACAGCATAAATCGTCCGCTACTAAATTATTTCTTTCCCTACAGAGAATATATTCAAGATTGCGCGGGGTGATAGTCGATCCTGAAAGTGATCTTTATTATTTTTGGATGGTAAAGACATATTTTGTCATAAATTCTAGCAGTGTTCCTATACACAATGTCTTCAGTTAGGGTGTGGTCAATGCATGCATCTAATTTCACCTCAGTCGCATAAGTGAGGAAATTGCTTCAAGCCCAACCAAACACTAGTTTTTTTTGGTACTCTCGTTTCCTCCTTCAGTAACAAGGGACGGCCCTTTAGAACTTTCAGATGATTTCACCAAATGAATCAATGCTTTTACTTTTTAGGGGACTGTAGCATTCGCTGTTCTGTACAATTTCTGGGTGATCATTTTGAGATTGACCTTTCTTGAAATGCGAAGCCAGGTAAGGCGAGGGAAGATGTCGATAAGAAAGACAAGTTTAGAGTGCTAGGTACACGAGTATGTGACTGCGAGGGCGAGAGGGTTCAGAAGCAAGCTTCTCTTAGAACATTTTCAACATAAAACTTACAAAGATATATTTTGGTGAATTTTGAGGATATATCCATAATTTAGTTCTGTAGTTGTAAGGTGGGGAGGGAGAGGGCGGTGTTATGAAAGACAACTTGACGCTTGCAAGAGGGGGAGTGAGTGAGGTACAAGAAGCTACACCCTCCTAATGTTTATTACTGTACACATGAGAAACTTACAGAATTATTTAATGTTGATTCCAGAGTGCCTTCATTGCTTGGGTGTTCATATTTTGTGATCTCACTGCCGACATGGTATACCTTCTAGACATTGTTGTACAGTTTCATACTGCTTACCTAGAGGACGGAATTATAGTGAGTATACGGATATAATCTTGAACGATCTGTGCCAGTGCAGGTAGTGCCAATAATTAATATGAAAGCTGTGGATTGATAGGGATAAAACTACCTGCATAACACAAGGAGCCCTCGCTTTAAATGCTGAAGTTCTCCTAGTATTTTTCAGTTTTCCGTCCACCTCATACTGGTGGAGAAAACTGAAAAAGAGTTAAAACATTAAAGAGCCCATGCCAAGAAACGTTTTCGGCTCCCCTCGTTTTCAGAGAGTCAACGGAAAGTGCCATGAATTGTGGAAACTGTTTCTGTTTAACTTAAATTGAAGCCCTACAATCTGTCACACCATTTTCAAATTAAAAAAATTCTTTTGTCTAGGTTCGGGATCAAGGAAAACTCTGGAGAAATTATAAACAGAAGTCTTACTTTGTGTCCGATGTCATCTCCATATTTCCTCTGAATTTTATCGTCAACTTTCTCCAAGGTGAGATCAATTGCAATGCAGTTGTTAAAAAATTCTCCCCAGTCCATGCGAGATGAGCGTTTGACTTTGCCAAATTTTCTCTGGCTACTCAAGTTTCCTCGCGTATACTGATCACTGGAGTAACAAAGAATACCTGCTCGATCCACTTTTGAGGAAACCAGCTTAGAACTATACACACATAAATGTTATAGGTCTGCAAACAAGTTCTTACAAATCTGTTTACAACCTGTCGACAACTTGCGTTCGCACTGCTTGTTCCCAATTGTTGTAACAAGTCTGGAACAAGCTGTTAACAACCTTGTAACAAGCTTGATGGCATTATCGGATTTGTAACAAGGTTGTTCTAACAAGTCTGATACAGTCATGATATAACAAGAATGTTACAAGATTGGCGACCCAAGGTTGTAACATGACTGTATCGAACTTGTTGGAACAACCTTGCAACAAGTCTGATAATGTCATCAAGCTTGTTATAAATTGTTAACAGCTTCTTCCAAACTTGTTAACAACTTGAGATAAGCAGTGCGAACACAACTTGTTGACGGCTTGTTGGCAGACTTGCTACAAGATGAGATTTTTTCATGTGTAATAAAGCTATCCTGCAGTAAAAATTAGTTTTAATAAACACCAAACAACTCTTCTTTCAGATCCTTTACTGTCTCAAATGCTTCGTATACCTCGCCTGTTCAAATGGCACACAATCTCAGATATGTTTGAGATGAGCGATTCTCGTACTAGCAAGCCATATGGAGTACGTGCTCTAAAGTTGACTATATATCTCGCAATCATTATTCACTGGTTTGCATGTTTCTACTTCATGATTTGTGAATACGAGGGATTAGGAAGTACTGGCTGGACCTACCCGGAATTGAAGGGGAACGATGATCGCTTTATAAGGTAATGATGCATCATGTTGTTATGATGGTGGTAGTGATGGTGATAGTGATGGGATGATTGTTGCTGGTATATAGTGTGGTAATGGTGGTGATGATGAACATGGATGGTAGTTATGGTAATGTCACTGGTGTTTAAGATAATGATAGTGATAGTCTGGTGATGGTGATGTTGCTGATATTCATAATGGTGATAGTGGTGATCAACTAATGATGATAATTTCGACGATAATGATGTGGTTGTCATGTCGGTGACAATGGTAGTGGCTAGCTGTGATGGTGAAGTTGGTGGTGTTGATGTACTAGTGATGATATGATGATGGTAATCATGTTGGTGATAATGATAGTAGCGGTGGTGTTAGCTATGGTGGCAATGACACAGGTGCAGATACTGTTGTTGATAGCAGCAATAATAATTATTATATTTAAACGAATAGTAATACGTACTTGTTACGTGACGACATACACGTATATCTGTCTTTAGAAAGTACATCAAGTCCTTATTCTGGGCAGCGTTGACGTTAACTACAATTGGAGAAAATGAAAGTCCTGAAACTACTTTGGTATGAATTGTGAATTATGATACTAAACTACTAGAGTAACTTTACAGTAAATACTTCTATCAGTTCTAAATGCTCGAGATCCAGCAAGGATCATCTCTTGACTTTTATTGATCTAGTGTTACTACGGGAGCAAACCTAAACTAATGATTCAATCTGTCTGATTATGAACAGCAATTAATTGTGAGATGTTGTGATTTCTTTCAAGGAGTACGTGTTCACAGGCTGTACATTTCTTATTGGTGTTCTGTTGTTTGCGACCATTGTTGGGAATATGGGTGACGTCATCAGTAGCATGAATGCTGCACGAGCAGAATTTCAAGAAAGGTAGAGTGGGTGCAGTTTTCACGACTTTGGGTTTGCCCACAAGACTGTATTGTCAGCAAGGCCGGACAGATCGAGTACCCCTTCTGAAATTCATCCAATTCGACCGAAGATTAATATCAGAAGTGGTACGCAAAAAATCTTGAATCAGGGTGGTGCCAATGTAGGGTACAGGGTTGGTGGATGGTAATGCAGCAGGATTTAGATAAAAATAAAAATCTATTGACCACATTAAAATGTTTAAATACTAAGCGCAAATTCAAATCTACATATATATTGTTTCTCCCTGCGGCTGAGTTATGTTTCAAACAAATTTAGAATGGACGGCATAAAACGCTATATGGAACATCACGAGATACCTGAACAGTTACAAGATAGAGTTAAACGATGGCTGCAATACTCATGGTCCAGGTAATAATTACCCAACATCGAGGATAAACTTATTACAATACTTTCAATACACTGTCTAACAAACCTGTACAGATTTGTAGCAATGCTGTTCCAACAACTTGTCAACAGGATGTATTAGCACTGCTTGTTAACAGCTTGTTGACAACAAGATTGCTGAGCTCAACAGACTTGTTACAGGTTGTTACAGGTTGTCCTGCAATTCAACAATTTCTCAACAAGATTTTGAGTGACAAACTTGCAGCAACTTGATAAAATAACATCATTGTCACAACTTGTTGACAAGCTTGCTACATGTTTATTGCGAACACATCTTGTCGACAAGTTGTGAGATTTTTACATGTGTAGTTCAGAAACAATAATATTGTAAAACATTACATATACCCATGTTTCATATCAATTTTATACTTTCAAGAACCAAAGCCCTGGAAGAGCAAACTACCCTTGGCTTTCTACCTCACAGATTAAGAACAGAGATTGCGATTCATGTGCATTTGGAAACATTAAAGAAGGTAAAAAATTCAATACAGATCCAACTCTACCATCATAAAATAAAACTCCATGCATGAATATGTCATGAATCACATTCAAATAAGTGCTACACAGGCGCTGCTTCAGTTGTTGTCACATGTTTGTAACAAGTTATCATGATGTTATGTCATTGTGTGCGTTTTCAACGATATCTCATTAAATTGTACTAAATAGCCTTACTAAAATGTTTTCAAACGTCAGGTGAAGATATTCAAAGACTGTGAACAAGGATTCCTTTGCGAGCTTGTTTTAAAACTTCGTTCGCAAATATTTTCACCCGAAGACTACATTTGTCGTATTGGCGAAATAGGTATGTATGCAACAATTCAGTAACGACTAACCTTCTTTCGTTCTCCAAATTGATAACTAACTTGAACAAAGTATAAAACATCAATCTTTTCACTTTTCCTACTAGGACGAGAAATGTACATAATTAACCATGGAAAGGTCGAAGTATGTGGTGGTATCTGATCATAATTTGCATGCTAGGAACGTTACAGTAGTATGACTCTACCAAACACATCAGGTATCTTCTGGATACACACGTAAAAATCTCCCAACTTGTCAACAAGATGTGTTCGCAACAGGCTTGTAGCAAGCTTGTCAACAAGTTGTAACAATGCTGTTATTTTATCAAGTTGCTACAAGGTTGTCACTCACAACTTGTTGACAAATTGTTGAATTACAGGATAACAAGTTGTTGGAACAACTTGTAACAAGTCTGTTGAACTCAACAACCTTGTAGCAAGTTGTCAGCAAGCCGTTGACAACTTGTCAACAAGCTGGGAACAAGCAGTGAGAACACATCCTGTCGACAAGTTGTTGGAAGACTTGGAACTGCATTGCTACAAGTCTGTTGCATGTTCGTTACAACTTGTGTGTTTTTACGTGTGTAGTTTACTCAGTCCTAATATTCTTTCCAGGTTGTAGTTCGCGACTCTTCCAGTGGTGATCCAATCGTCGTAGCCTCGCTTTCAGATGGGAACTACTTCGGTGAAATAAGTTTGTTGAGATTGGACGGAGGAACAAACAGGTACGCATATGGAACAATGATTATTGAGAAATGGTACAAATACCTCACCTCTTCTTCATCATTGTAAAGGCTTCTGACATTTTCTGTTTCCAGGAGGACTGCCGATGTTCGTTCAGTTGGTTACTCAGAGTTACTTTGTTTATCCAAGAAAGATTTAATGGAAGTACGATCTTCTTCATTCCAATAAGAAATATCGTTTAGCCCAAAAAGTGAAAACTGGATTAATAAAATTCTTTTCTTCAAAGGCGCTTAAAGAATATCCTGAGGCTCACGAAATACTTGAAGCCCAAGGTAGAGACAGGTAAACATATCTACACCATTATCTCCTCAGTCCTGGTATCGAAAATAATTTCTATAAAAAAATGTAACATATTGACGCGCTGCTTCTCATTGCTGCTGGTTTAGTAGGACATATCTTCACATGCAAAGCACGTGCCTATTCTTTTTCTGTACACGTCCAGTCGACTCTTCTGATAAATATGTATCACGTTTTTTTTTAACCTTCGGTTGACGTCCACTTACTCATGCAGATACCGAGCTAAAGCGCTGAGCTGACGAATGGTTATCGATAATTTTTAATCCTGTTTTAACCTAGATTACAAAGAACCAAGACGGAAAAGAATGCAATGAGATTGAGGACGAAAAACAAGGACACAGCAGAGGAAGATTTTAATAGCATTGGTACGACTATTTTCTGTTTGTCTGTTTGTCTTTCTGTTTGTTATTAATCCCAATGTATCCTGACAGTTCCTTTTCTCATTCACGTTCGCAGATGACGGAGTAAAAGAACTCAAAAGTCTGGTAGAGCAGTTGAAATGCTTCGACAAACTGGTAATAGTCAAAACAAAATTGTAATTCTGTAGATAATATAACAAAACTTTATTTATACTGGATCCATCAGTTCTACAATGTTCTCCCTAGAGGTCCAATGATGACCTAATTAGTCTCTGTGATGACATTTTTCGATTCTGAATTTTAGGAGGAAAAACTTCAGACGACTCAACTTCAAAACCAGGTAACTAGCCAACACTGGCTGCATTTCTCATAGTGAGTTCTAGTCGACGCTAACATTCAATCGTCTACTTATAGTGCAACGCTCTACGTTTGCAAGTCGAGGAAGTGGAAATTGAATTGAAGAAATCAAGGAAAAGATCTTATGCACTGGAAAGAATGTTGTTGAGCAGATCAAATGGTTTTTACGACACAACAAAAGAATATGAAGAACTAAGTATGGACAACGGAGTCAATAATGATAATTTACGGGACCTTGCAACAACCAATCATATGAGAAAACGCTTGTCACCTGACCACACAGAAACCAATCATATGAGAGATGATTCATATGACTCTGCCAAAAGGAGTGATGAATCATGTGACCAAGGAACAGCCAATCATATTACAGATGAATCATCACATGACCATGAGGGAACAACCAGTCATATGACAGATGATAACTCCATAATAACAATTGACACGATGGATGAATCATCGCATGGCTATACGGCTAGAACCAATCACACGACAGAGAATTATCAAGACAAAACCACAAGAACCAATCACATTAGAGATACTGATCCACGTGACCCTACCAAAGCAACCAATCTCATGCTAGATAACTCACGTGAAACTACTGAAAGGACCAATGAGGCAACGAGCAGAACACGTGACCAAGGTATAATACCCGATGAAAATGACGTGAAGAATTCACTTGACCAGAAATCCTTGACCTTGATCCTCGACAGAAATAACAATAGTGCAACTCAAGTAGTTGAAAGTTATGAAAACACAAGCAGAACATGTCTGAGAGGATATCAGACAGATTTACCAAGGGAGCACTTAATAAAAGAAACGCCAAGCTTTGCGAAGTCGCCTCATACAAGATCTTATCCACAGAAAGAAACAAGATATATTTCAGTTTATCAAATGAACCTTTCTCGCCGAAGGAGCTCAGTATGAATAGTGGTACAGTGCATGGTTAGTGACCTTCCACACGCTACAATGGTGAATGACGTTTCCCCCTCCATCGTAGCTCTGTTCTGTGATCATACATAAATGTGGCGCCCTTAGAAAGCCTCCGACTCGATCAGGTTGGACTAGCTCTCAGCTGCAATAATAAGGAGGATTAGAACTCCCTCCCCCAACCTAACAGGAGTTCGACCGTACAGTGTACCGCAAACGATTTCATTCGAGTTTGCCAGATAAGAATGTACATTTTGTACATAAAATATCCGGCATATTTCATATTATAAGATATTTTGTATTGTACTAATAGTATAGCTTATATAAATTATATGTATTCTGTTTTTGTAACATAATATAAAAGTCATGCGAATTTTTGCGCAAGTACGTGTAAAATATATTCATTTCTATCAAAACAAAGCTCTATTGATATTTCAATAATTTTTAAATAATTACTTTGCATTGACATGTTTATAGCTGATTTTCAAGTACCGTTATTCATCGCCAACCCGTAGGATTTGAAATTTTCCCAAGTGTTAACAAAAATCTGAAGTATCTGTAATTTATAGTCTAAGATTACTGTCTGTAGAAATCCGTAAACACTTGTCTAGCGAAGGGCTACTACTAAAAAGCGATACAGCGATACAACGATACAGCGATACAGGAACCGGAACCTGGAACCGGAACCTGGAACCGAGCATAATTTATGCAAATTAGAGCATCTTGCACCACAGGAGATATACATGATAATAATTTACAGGGGGGGGGGACGCAATTCAAAGATAGTACAATATATTACAAGTGAAGCATTTTGATTTTCTAAACGAAAAGAATGAACATCATTGTAACACTATATTACAAAGTAAAACATGTTTCGTAATTGCGCGGCGATTCTTTTTGTCTGGTTTGATACAACTGCATGTGACACACTGGTTTATTTAGTTGCCGCACTTGAAATGCCAGCAGACAGAGAAAGAAACCAAGGCACGCAAAGCAGATTGCGCTTAATTCAACAGTAATTGTGCTCTAAAGTATATTTATTAGAGTGTACTCAGTGTATAGTGTAGTATATGATGCAATCCTCTAAATGTGCTATATACGCTGCGAATATTGCGAATATACTGCATACTAAAAATATCCGCTTAAATATCAATTACAAATTATGAAGGTAACTTCAATATTATGTCAAAAATACATTTAATTAATAATGAAAAATTAAAATGTGTGATTGAAATTCAGCGTCGAAAACAAATAGGGATGTTAGGATGTACAATGCAACTTCAATGGACAATGCCGATAATAATAAATGTTGAATGGCCCCCATGGCCATGTCAAAGTTTAGTTGCTTTAACAGCTTCTATTTCAGATTTTACTTTAATGTCGGAAACGGTACTTGATATCTGATATATTTAAACCCAGATAATACAAAAATGTGACAAAAAGTTTATCCAGTTAGTTGTGAGTAGCCTGTTACATAAAGTGGTGTACACATTATACGTATTCAGTGTTGAAGGCATAACAACCATATAGAGTCTTTTTATTATATTTTGTTATACTTATTGCCTTCAGTTGGAAATTATATATATATAATCAGTTTTTGATGAATCATGTT